TGTCCTTTATACCTTCTATCCTTTAAAAGATTTTAAGTTTTTTGAATATTCTTTTGTAAAATCTTTGTATAAATTATCCAAATTTAATGAAGTGTATTGAATTTTATTTTATTTTATTTAAAAAAAAAAAAAAAAAAAAAAAACACACACACACACAGATGTTATCAAGCCTTAGTAATTAGTTAAAACAATTTATATGGATTAGTATTTTGAAATATGGGCAATTTTCGAAAAAATATTAGAAAATGAATACAAAAGCATGATTAAAGATAAGTATTTTAGAAATTGAAACAAAACATGATTTTAAAAACTATTGCTAAAAGTAGAAAAAATGACAATCTATTGATATAATTATATATGCACCTACCAATATGATTATACATACTAAAAAAATTTAAAAAAATTATACCTCTTTGTATCATATTACACCTCTAGGAGGTATAAAAATCATAATAACCTTTTCTCTTGTAGTCATGTTCTTTGCCAACTTAATCAATGCAAAACAAATATATATATATATATATATATAATGATTTTGTCAACCAACTGATTCTACAAAGTGCGAGAATACATATATTAATACAGAAAGAGAGGTGAATATATTGCAAATTTGGCAGAGTTGACATGAGGAGTTGTAGAAGTGAGGCCATGTTGCTAGCAAGCAAGAAAGCATGATGCATCGAAGGCAGTGAAAGAAGGAACCATCTCATGCACCAGGAAAGTTGGTTCCCCTGGAAGCTCCGGATCTCTTCCGATGTGGCTCAGGTTGGCTTTAGGGTGCGGCGCGAGATGTTCCTGGTCGTAGAACATGGTGTGAGCACTCCTCCTCCTTGACAGATTACTCGTGTGTGCTTTGACTATAGCCCGTCGATCAGATTCCAAATGAAGACACTTGAAAGTCTTCCAACCTATTTGTGGCGACGTGAATGCTTCCTGGGGTTCATCAACTTGGCGACAATCACTTTGCAGTGGGACCGATTGCAGGGTATTTATTAGCGCTTACTTGATCCGTACCGGCGGCGTCTGCCTCGGTGACCCTTCTTTTGGAAATAAAGCGCACGGTTCTGCGTGGTTTGCCAGCGAGTGATTACGCCCGCACGTGCTTTTTCTCTTCCGATAATTCCGTCCCCCGTCTTGCCCTCACATACACACAGGGCACTTCTGTCGGTTACTGGCTAAGGCTTCGAGTTAAAGGTCACTCGCTGTCCCTGACAAGTATTCCCAGTGATGGACTCATGGCCAAGCCTGTCAGGCTCAGGCTGTGGAGACGGAACTTATTGCAGGAGTGGCCTTGTGAAGAAGAAGCAGCGGTAACAGCGCAGGTTGTTTCATGTGTGGCTCGCAGTGGTCGTGGTTTGGGTTGTGGGTAAAGTGTTAAGTGGGTTTGCGTTGTTCAGCTCCTGCACCGCGCGCATAAAACGGGTCAACTTGACTGGCTGTTGAGATTCTTGTTATCCCAGCTGGTAGCACTGGAGCAGCAACACAAGCGGCAAGACATTTCAATCTTCCTCTCCGGGTGGGCTCATTCAAAGCAAGAAAACTAGTAGATCATTCCCTTCCTTTCCCAGTTACTGCAGGCAGGAGATGGAGATGGTATAAGGTTAGTCATACAATGTCGTTCGGATTCAGCAGGTCACGTTTGCAGGGAGTTCCTTGATTGGATGCGGTAGGATGAGCAGGCGGTGTGTAGAACGCTGCATACCAGAGAAAACATGGGAAAGCATCTTATTCAGTAGCAAAATCCAGCAGATATCGCAGTCTGAATGATTATTTTACAAATTCAGGTCACTTGGTTTATAGCAACGCCTCTCCTGCCTCCCCAGATGAATGTCAACAAGTCTAATGTACAATACTCGAACTTTTTGTCTATTGGAATTTAAACAAGCCTTGGGTGATCAGGTTATCAGATTCGTCATCAATGCTGACGAATCATGGGTTTTTGACGTACTGCCAAGTATTCACGCATACTGTCAGAATATCCTCGTAAGTGGAGTTCACCCTTCTTCGAGACACCTGGCTCCAGTGAATTAGAAAATTTGAGAATATCAACCTCCAAGTATGATTACAAGCTTGGAAATCACTACTTGGGTTTTGAGCTTGGTAATAACATGGAAGGACTGATTTCGTCGAGGAGCGTGCATCTGCACAAGGATCGCCCTCAAAGTTGAGCGATCAATTGAAGAAGTTGACTTTGATTAATACCTCCACAACCATGAGGTCGTCAAGGAGAGAAGATGACTCCCATGCAGAGCAGCTTTTGCAACAAAGGCTTGAAATTTTGGTGGGCCGTCTGAACTGGTCGTATGCTGTGCTCTGGACGCTCAATCCCCGAACAAGGTCACTACGCTTTCCACCTCCATAAGTTCGATATTGTTGTGATAAAACTCGTTCAAAGATCAGTAGAAAGTTTTCGTTGTAAGTCCGGAGAACTTGTCAACATATGCGCATGTATTAGTCGGCTTATTACATCCGATATTGAAAATCTCGCCTGGAATTCAACTGTCACGTTCTGAACCACAAATCATAGTTGGGAAGACTTCTAACTACGTCATCTTGGTTGATACCAAATGGTGTGTCCACTTCTTTGACGTTTTATGTCTGACCTAGATTTCTGCACATTCGAAGCGATGTTCGCTTTGCTTCTCCTCCTTGTGCATTACTACTGCACTTGAGCCCACGTTTGCCAAGAGCCCGGATACTGGCCTTAATCATGAATTTAACCAGGATACTACGGGGGACTCCACTCAGTAGGGGAATAGAAGAGTGTAGAAAGGGTAGTTGAAAAACACCGCTGAGGAACAATACATCACGTATGACATTATAACACAGAAGAGTCCCTGAATTCATGATACACTCTAACTCACACTTAAACTAAGGGTTTGCTAACTTCACTGCCGACCTGTACGTTCCCTCTAATTCATCTTATAGTTTTCTGGATATTACAGCTATTTGCTCTGATCTTTGTCGTGGAGCTTCTAGATGAAAAAAGTGTTTGGGGGTCTTGTAGATTTGGTTCTGCATGTTAAACAAAGAGTATTACACAAGCTTGGCTGATAATGGTATCTTGTCAATGATTCAGGTTACTCACATGGAAGATGGGCTACTTTAAGGATGCGAACCCGAAGTCTACAGCAACAACAAGTCCACCTAAGGTCAATTGGAGTGCCCAGTTCTTCTACACAACTTACAAACGCTGCTCTTTTGCTCCTGGCTCTGGGTAAGCTAATTTTCTCAAGCAAATAAACGAAGTCGTCAATATGAGGGTAATAAAGTAACAAAACATTGGGCTGTTACTTTATTTAAATTTCCTCATGTTTCATTCATGTTCGATCAGGTTTCTCGAGTCCTTGAAAATTGGCTCAAATTGCGACATGCTGTAAGCTAATAATGAAGATCAAACATCTTGTGTTAAACACTAGCTTTGTTCGACCAGGCACAGAACTCTTTATCATGAATCTTATGGTAGTGTAAACAGTCGGTGAGAATATATTCGGTGGTTTGATTTCCATGAACTGTGCAATGTCGTATCATAGTCAATGTTATAGGCTCCATATTCTGCTGTTCTTAGTCGTACGATCAGGCTCATCACTTGCCGTCAAGTCAGTAGCAAAGTGCAACTGCATAAACTGCAGATGACCTGTGCGTGAGAGTGACTTGAGTAGAGCTCAAGACTGATCCTTATTAAGAAAACAAAATTGCACGCAGAGTTGTTGGAAGGGCGCACATGGAAGGAAGACCCATCTGGTTAACTGATGACTCAGTTTGTGAGAATGCTGGATCAGTGGAGCAAACGCAGTTTCTGAGATGTGCACAAATTATGGTAAGTTAAGAGCTAAGCCAAATGAAATATTTGAAATGTCACGGTGTAATGTCTGAAAATAGTTTAGTGTCGATTCGCTGTTGAAGAGTCTGTATTATTAATTGTGTCTATCATGAAATTGTTGGTGTTCTGTACTTATGGAGAAATCACACGAGTGCTAAGCACACAGACGACAATAGAAGTTCTTTTGGGTCCAAGTATAGCAGTTCTGATCGGTGGTAGTGTGCAGACATTGACGTGTATTCCATGCCTCGACAGTGTCCTCGAAATTGGCACCGTGATTGCTGTAAGTGAATTCCTCCACTTGTCGTTTTTTGACTGAGTAGAATTTAGGTCGCATCCCCTCAGCTAAGTTCGAAGCCACTGTTTACAACGCCCTGATCTCTGATGGCCACGCTTTCTACTTTAAAACAGAAGAGCACGCATACCTTCCTTCTAGGAAGAAATGCTGCTTTCTCAAGTTCACTCGCCGGTGATCAAATCTACACGATGTTGAGACATGTGGTGAGATTGACCACTTGTTCGTGTTGTGTGGTAAAGATCCACGATCTGATCCAGTGACAGTTTTAAGCAATCAGCTTTTGCAAATTATTTCTTGATTCCCTTCCTAATATCTAGTTTCAATAACAGTCAATTCTATTATTGTAACATTATGGTACCAAAACTTACAGAAGTTTCGTTGTTACGACCGCCACAAATTTCTAGTCAAAAGATACTAAATATACGGCCAGTATTTTATTTTATTCGTTTGTCTGTTCTCCCGTTTCTTCTCTCTGTCTTTCTATATTTCACGAACGAACAGCATTCGTAAGACGATCTTCCCTGATGACTCGGTTGCACTTGTTGCCCCTCGATTGGTGACAATGTTGCTTGGATGACGTTAAAGTCAACTTCTTAATTTGTACTGTAACTGTAACTGGTAACTGGAGTGGTGACAGCCTACTCCACTTTAGATCATGTCATCTGTGTATAACTTATTAAAGTTCCCCCCTAGTAATATCCGGTCCCTTTCAACTTTAAAGTGAAAGACAAAGGACAGGGTCTGAAACGAAATATCACTGGTTCTAAGCACCTGGACCTACCGATTAAGCTTACCGAATATTTGGGGTCCAACCAATTGGGTCCACCCAAAGGCATCCCAAAATACGAAAAACTCGCTCCTGGTTATGGACTTTATAGTGCAGCACTGTAGCCCTCTTGTTGCGTCGATGCGGTACCGCGCTTATCTTAGATACTTGGATTGTTGCTGATATGCATTGCTGGTGCAGTAGCCTGAATTGGCAACTGCCGATGAGCTTCACGTGTTTTCAGAAGATGTGAATTGGAATGGACTTGGAAGTGGCACTACCGTAAATGTGTTGATCCCGTCGTCATCACCGGTTTTGTAGATCGTCAAAGTGTGTGAGTGAGTGCTCACCGACTGAGTGCTTGCAAGGTTGGGTATGCTGAAATGGTAGCATTCTTAATGCGTTAGTATATTGCCCGAGGAGAAATCTGGGAATAGCCAGCCCAGGTTCGGTATTTTCCGTGAGAATTCGCTGGCTGGCATGAATCTCCTTGCACGATGGATGGTATTGTGACAGCTAGGTACAAATCAGTCCAGGAATTTGGGTCAGCTTCTGTCATTTGTTACCCCTTGGACCTCAGCAGAAAGCTCGTGACTAGCTCAGTGTCTTTTCCGCATTACAATACGTAGGATGGGAAGTTTAGAACTCTTAATAATGTGGCAAGAGGAAAACTCTCGTCAGTAGATGGAATGACAGTAAAGATTTTCGAATATCCTATCCGTTAGCATATGCAGACATGGATTCAAGATATTGACGAGGGTTACAAGCAAATTGGCCACCAGTGTGGGAATGGTTCCTTGGGGTGCAAGAGGGTTTGAGAGTCATAAACATGTGGATCAACTGTTGCTTAGTCAGTCACAACTTGTGAGAAATTTATGGATTATTCCTGAAAAGATAATTTGGATGCTAATGGCTCGCTACACCTGGGGGTATCTACATGATTTTGTATAGGTGGGAGAGACCTTTCAGTACCAAATCCAGCAAGTTCTGTCCGAGGATCTACTCGCAGCGCGGCCGCTGCAGCGCCCAGGCTGTGAGCATGCCACTGCCCTAGCTGCTTCAATGTTCCAGATTGGACCCCAGCTTAGTTGTCATCAGAATACAGCAGCAAACAATCCTACTAATTTGGAGTCGCAACAGCTTTCTCATAGAATGTGGTCCGAAAGCACTGAAGAAATCTCTCCTCAACGTTTAGACGATCTCAACCAGCCCTTTCAGTCGGAGTTAACTCTATCAGACCAGGTGTGGAGGTAAGCGCTCTGTCCTCAGGTTCCTGTTTCGCTGTCGGAAAATTCTTGGCGCTATCTCCATCTTTAGGTTTCGCCCAGCGACACTAATCAAGTTGTGACCAGTTTGTAGCTGCTCTTGCAGGTCAGCAATTAGCCAAAGCCTGAGTCCAAACCCTGGCATTTACATGCACGACCAGTCAGATACTCAACTGAATTCCGGCACTGACACAATCACGAAGGAAAATTTGTTTAGGTTAAACAGTGGCACAATCCCACCAGCGACGTTGGACATGACGAGCCCTAATGCATTAGCGAATTGGGCGCTTTCTGAGGTTGATTTTCGTGACAGTCAGAATGTAAATCAGAGGAGCATGACACGACCCACCAGCCATGGGTTGATAATTCCTCAAGCTGATCAATATCGTTCATGGTCGGGTGCGGCAACTTCCTCCAGCATGAGCAGCCAAGGGGATTCGACTGCAAGATTCTCAGGCTCTCCTGAACCGCAGCAACCTCAAATGCGACTTAATCCTCCTTCCAACTCAGGAAGCTCTACGCTGGACAGGTACTGTGATCCAAATTCATGTAAATTGTCCTCTTTGCCTACTGTCTATGTAGCAGCTATCAACCATCTCTTTGCAACTCTCTTGCCAGCGGCCATTTCGTAGTTGGTTTCAGTTGACAGTGAGCACTGTGCGAGCAATGCTCAACCTTAACGAAACTGTGTCTCAAGGCCTAAAAAATTCCAGGATGCCAGCCCGATTACTAGAATATTAATGTCACAAATGCTGAACGATCTTTTGGCTACAGAGGTAGAGATTGGCCGAGCATCCTGAACATCAGCCTCACGACAATAAACATAAAAGGTCTTGAATGTCATGACTCCCATTTTCAGCGTCATGAGTTGAATGATGCTTATCGGTACAATTGTATTAGTCTATATTACTGCTCAAGAAAATATACACAGTGCGCCAATTTGGGACAAACGTAGAATTCAGAGTAGAAAAGTTCCTCGTGTTCATGAAAACACCTACGTCGATTCAGCTTGCAGATAGCTCGGATACTAGAAACTGTAAAATGGTATTCGTATAACTGTTGGACTTCTCCTGGATATTCTCTGAGAATAATTCATCCCATAACCCTGTCCGAAGGACACTGCATGTAGGGAGTGTGACGAGATGTTTTCACCCTAAGTTGTAATGTTGTCCATTTTCTGAACTAAAAGACTCGCAGTGTCTGGATCAGGATGGATCAATCCTAGTGCTTTGTTCGCTCCAGCTGATACTGTTCTCTGTAATCTATGCTGTACAATAATATCAGGGCGTCATGCTCAGACAGACTATCTAGTCAGTTCACCGCAAATATAAGACGGACAACGTCTTGTGGCGACCAACATGAAATCCAGAAAGCGCTCAGCTTCTTTGAAGCTCAAGAAAAGCAGGAGCAGTGGAGACAACAACCAAACATACAACTCGATCCAGCTTTGACTCAAGCTGCCAACTTGAACGATAAGGTGGACGTTCAAAAGATGCGTCTCTCGTCTAGTGCGCAGCAGGGAAACATAAGACTCCCTGCTCAGTACGAATCCACTAATGTTCAAAAGTTTCCGTCTCAGGCATGGCAGCATGACCCAGCCAGCTTGCAGAAGAGTATTGTTGACCCACCAATTCAACTGCCGCAAAGTAGCAATGCCAGTCTCGTGAACCAGGCTTCTGACTTTTCTGGGTCACTGCTACGGACACATTCCTTGTCTGAACCAGAGGTGGTTAAAGAGGTCGATACGTATCACCTGGAGGTTGCCGACATATCTTGTGACCAAGCTCCAAACATGCAACATGAGCCTAGGGCACTAGCCAGTGCTGTTACGCAGGTATTGGAACATCACAATATCCTAATTTCACTTTATCAAGCTTGGCCACTTCAATCTTCCTCACGTGGTCCTATGTAGCTAGTGAAGCTTTCTACAGAACATCAGAGCCGTAAATTGTAAATTGATTCCCGGAAAACGAACAAGTGCAGAATATCACGTCCAATTTAAGGGGTCGCAGAAGGTGGGGAGCGGAGCACGGGAGCATTCGTGGTTCAGGCCCGATACATGCTGGTCATGATGAAGCTGCCATCAACCACATGCTGGCAGAAAGACGCCGGAGAGTGAAGCAGAAGGAAAACTTCGCGGCATTGAGAAGACTGGTTCCCATAATCTCGAAGGTACAAAACTCTAAACGTGATCGGGCTCTGTTAATTTGCAAATTTCGAATCTTGTGCATAATTAAGTTCATTCCCTCTAAAGTATAGCTGGGCTGGTGGCTTTTTCTGTTTCTGATATTTCACTGTTGAGGGTTCGTTCCTCGTGGATTTGATGCAGGCAGACAAAGCATCCACCTTGGTTGATGCAATCACCTACCTCAAGGACCTGCAGAAGGAAGTCGAAGAGTTGAAGGCAAGCAAGGAGAACATCGAGCAAAGATACGAGACGCTTGACAAGAGGTGTAAGGAGCTTGAGGACCGGAACCGACAGCTGGTTGCGACGCTTTCCAAGGACCAGTCAAACAGCTTTAACAATCTCAATTCCATGAAGTCCATCTAGCTCAACCTGTCTGTTAGTTTAAATCCATCACTTTGAGCTTTGCAGGCAGTATATCATATACCCCCATTACAACGATTCCTGCACACAGATCTAGTGGGGCTCCGTGCTCCCATTTGAAGAGCTGCACTGAGATTTGCAGTGAAACCCTTTGATTCGAAACACGACCTAAGTTATTTGCACACAGCCTGGCCATGTAGATGTAACAAACACCTTCGACATTGAACCTTTGACTGTCAGCCTCACAGATATCCAAATCAGACCCCGTTTTGCCGTTGATCAGAAATCAATCGACTAGCAGGTATACTAGGAGCGCACCTCCTCATCCCAGCATCTGTGATATCATGGAAGTCACTGCAGTCTTTTGCTCTGCAAATAACATGATCTGTACCTGCAGTTAGTGTCTTTCTTGACTTGTTAAGAAGCTCCCTGCTTTATCATCTTGAACTCTACGGGACTCTGATCTTTCAGCTTTCAGAATTCTTTCCAGATGAAATGTTCTGATGGTGTGAAACTTTGCCTTACACTATTGCAAAGTCACTAGGTAACACATTCTAGCTATGGTCTCAACTTAGCTACTGTCAGGACGGATGCCCGTGATCTGAGATGCAAGCAAACTCTTCACTGAAGAAGCGTTTTTAACATGCTGATTTTGATTCTCCTGCAGGTGGGCCATGGAGATTTGCAACGACGAATTAGACATGTTTCGTTTCCAAAGTACTTCAAAGCAACTTGTAGATGGTTTTTTTGACAGCAGTTGTTGTGGTAACAAATGACACTCTGCTATTCCGAGTGTGGAATGAAAGTTATGATTTTTTTAATTGTGATTATTGAGTTTGGGATTAATATTTACATGTCTTTCAAGTTGCTATTCAACTTAGCTACAAAACTAGCCATCAGAAGATGCCATATTGGTGTGACGTTTTTACTACCAAAGAATCTAGTTTCTAAATCCACTCACTACTTATATAATCTTAGTTGGCAATGGTGTGATGAGGTGTTGTGTGATTGATGTGTAGACCTAAGTGGTGTGAATGATTAATGTGTGATCTTTACTGACACTCTCATTTACATCAAACATCAAGTAGAGCTTTCTTTTAAGTACTTTGTATGTTTTTTTATGCCTATTTTATTTTTAGCAATAATTATATTATTAAAAAATGATGCTAAGAATTTGACTATTTTAGAATTATTGCACTTAGTGCTTTAGGCTTTTATGGAGATTTATTGACATTTAGTTACATCTTGGCTTAGTTGGATTAAAAATATACTTATAGGTTATCTGTTTGTTGAGAGTTTTAATAAACTGCTTATACTTGGTTTGTTTAATCAATTATTTCATGAGTTGATATGGCCTAAGATAAGGTATCAAGGTAGTTTATATATATTACTTTCTTTGTGATGTGTCAACAAAAAATGGCATAAAGAGATTAAGTCAATATTTGATTGGTGTGCTACAAAATTTTTAAGAATGGATGCTACAAATTATATTTGTTATGTTTGAGATATGAGGCATGATGTTGCATCTCTCCATATGTATTATTGTAATTTTTTTTTTCTATTCTTGAGGTATTTTTTTGAAGGAATTTAAATAGGTTTAGTAGCAGTGAACTTAACAAGAGTGATAAAGATGAGAATTCTTATTTAGGTCACAATAAAATATTACTAGACCTCTTTGCATAGAAACCATGCTCAAATAAATAATATATTTGGTTGAATATCCATGCATCCTTCTAAGTCCAAAAAATATAATCTTATTTTTTTATCATTTATTTGAAATTGATTCTTTCCATAGATTTAATGAAAAATATTAATTTCTTATAAATCCATGGGTGTAAAGATTACTTTGATGTGGCCAGCTATTGTTTTTCCTTAATGAAGTGGTATTATAACTCAATATGATTCATGCATAAGTGCTAGACTAGATTTTTAATTAACTTTACTACTTCCAAGTTATTACAATAGAGAAAGAGTAGGATCGTATGGAAGAATGTTACAATCATGTAATAGCTTCTTAGTCCAAGTAATTTTTTTTGGTGAATTGGTGAATGTACAATATTCTATTTCACTTGTTGACATTACTACAATAGATTAAAGTTTTCTTTGCCATAATATTAGCGCTTTTATGAGTTTAAGAAGCATTCTCAATATAAATTTCCAACCATCCAAGTTACGAGTCTAATTTAAGTTGGTAAAGACTTATAGTTTGAAATTATTATTGCTAGAAAAAAAAATCATATAATTTATTGTATCTATGACATATTGCATGATCTTTTTTGTGGCATCCATATAGGTTATAAGTGGTAGCATCATAAACCTATTAAGTATTGAAATGTGAATGGTTAAAAATCTATATTAAAAATACTTATTATTATAGAAAAAATAAATTATCTACAAAACTTTAATATTCATATTTATCTATTGGTAGTAAATCTATTCATAATTGTAACTTGACGTTGCTTTCTACTCGTGTATAATAAGGATTGCATGCTTGCATATCATACTTCTTAAGTAGTTATTCAACATATTGCTCTTAATAAAAGAAGGTATTGTTGTCGACATACTAAAATTTTAATCCAATATAGAGCAAGAAAGTATTGAGAGCTGATATTTGATACTTTCCTTAGAGTAAGCTTTTGAAACTGAGAAGTTCTTCAATAGTATTATCTATAAACATAATATCATCCATATAAAAGATTAGAATGACATATTGGTTTGTACTAGTAATTTTGGTATACATATTGTAGTCATTGCTACTTTATTACAATTCAATATTTTTCAAGAGATTATTGATGTCAAAATACTAGATCCTATTAGATTATTTGAAGCTATAGATTTCCTTCCACAATCTACATACTAAATTTTCTTGCTCTTGTTTGACAAAGCCTTGTAGTTGTATTATGAATACTTCTTTTTTAATGTTTCTATTAAGGTATGCTATATGTATATCTACGTATTTGATTTGCCATACTTTTCAAGCTACCAAGACTATAATTATTTGTATTCTAACTTATTTGATTATTAAAAAAATATCTTGTCAAAATCTATGCCTAGGTGTTATTGGAATCTTTAAGCCACCAATCAAGCCTTGATTTTTTTGGCTTTTTAGTTACTTGAGATCTTTGTATAAAGTATCCACTTTGTTATTATCAAAATCTTGCCTTCAAGTAGTTGTTTAAATATCCATGTTTCATTTAAGATGAAGGAATTATATTCCTTTATCATAGCTCAATGCTACTTCAAATGTTGATTACCAACTTCAAAATCCTCTAATTTTTATATTATTATGATGGTAAAAATATAGTTGCCATACTTAATTGATATTCTTTTTACCTTTGTAGAATATCTAGTTAATGTTGGAGAGTGGATGTACTAGATATTTTTTTGTTAAATAATAGTTGCAAGTTTTAAGAGAAAGGACTCTTAGTGTATCTAAATAAATTTATTGTTTGATGTGGATTATAGTACCAACTTCTATAGAAGCATTGTTTTTCTTTCTTTAGTAGGTACATTGCTATGTAATTGAGATTATATATATATATATATATATAGATTCTTTGGTATCATTATTCATCTTCTTCTCCACTCTACTTTTGGTGTGCAGTATAAGAAGTAATTAGTTACCTTTGTATTCTTATTTATTTTTACAAAATATTAAGAAATTTTTAGACATGAATTTTCCTTCTTTGTTTGTTTTGAAAATCTTAATTTGTTGTTTGTTTTTGCCTTCTATGTAGATTTAAAAGTTCTTAAATTTCTTGAATGCCATTTCTTTTATTTTCAAGAAGTACACTCAGATCATCTTCCTGAAATCATCAATAAGATAAATAAATATTGAAATCCTCCTTAGAAGGCTTGTAAAAAAGTGTATTTTGATGAGATTTGCTTCAATCATTGGTAAGGTAGACAATGCATTCGGTACTAAAAAGCAATAAAGTCTTATGATTGTATTATGGATTTTTCTACTTTGACCTTTATTTGCTTACTCTATGTTATGATTTAACATCCTATAGAAGTAAATATAATTGTGCATTCTTTGTTGACAATTATATGAAGGACCCTAAGAACTTCCTTGAGTATGTTATTATATTAGATTAGTGCTCTTCATTCTTTTTATACTTTTTGAGCTATTTATTCTATGATTTTGATTTTGGATTTTATTGAGATTGTCTTAATGTTCTAGAAGTTAGATCTTTAGTTAGCAATATATATAGTTGCACCACTATTTAGGTACCACTACTCATTATCTCAATCAAGATTAAGTACAAACATCACTATATTGAAGTAGTTGGATTTGATATCTTTTTTCTCTATTTTTTTATATGTTTATAGTTGTTTAGAACTTTTGGCAAAAAGATTTGCTTTTAATTGTGTAAATGTATCTAATTTTTTGAATCTTTTCAAACATAGACATTCACAGGCAAAGTATCTCTTTTTGTTGCAATTATTATAAAGCCCATTTCTTTGTGGTCCCCTATATTACTTATTATCCTAATTTTTTATTAACCCTTAATGTTGGATTTTTTCTTCTTAATTTTACCTCTTTTCATTGTTTGTGCACCTTAGGTTATATTAATAATTCTAGAACCTTAAAGCCTTGCCTTAGTACTTAAGTTGGTTTCTTCAATATTGTTCTTTATAGAGTAATTTGCTACAGAGGCGCTTGAAGGTTCACAAGTACTTCTATCCCACTAATGCTTATATGAATCTTATATAATTTAGTAGTAATGCATTAGTTGTTAAATACACAAGCTTGAAATCTTTGACCTCTTCTCTTATGGCTGCAAGTTATATTGTAGTTTCTTTCAATTGCCAAATAAATTCTTTAATAGATGATCTTTTTTGCATCTTCATTATATAAAATATGTTAAATAGTTATATGGTGTGCTTCTTTATAATGGAGTATAAATAAGATATTTGTATTGTTGATGCATAGTGATAGGTAGTTAGAACCATGTTTGAGAAGTTTTTAGAAGTTTTTAAAAGTTTTTAGAATTGGAGCTAAGTTGGTGGTCTATATGGAATATTCTAAAAAGGACTTAGGTCTATTATTTAGATGGATTCGACTATTCGGAACATTCTAAAAAGCTCTAACATGATTGGACAAAGTATAAATAAGATTGGCTAGGGCCATTTGGATATTCGATTAAATATAGCTTTGATTTCTTTTCCTTAGTAAAATTTGATCTTGTACTTTTTTGTTCAATTCTATTTTATTTTCTTTTGCTCTATTCTATCTTTCATATTCTATTTTATTTAATTTTATTTAATTTATTTTGATCTATCCTATTCTACATTGTAACGAGATTCATATTGCTATGGATTGGAAGGATCTTAGATCTTAGAGATAATTCAATCATGTTTCATTAATATCAGAGAAAGTATTAATTTGTTCTTTGGTAGTATATTAATAGCCATAGTATAGTTAGAAGTCAGTTGTTGTGATCACATTAAGTATTGTTTTAGGGCTACCACGAGCTACTTTTAAGAAATTAGTTTAAAGAAGAGAAGGCATTGCAATAGCATAGTTCAGTAAAGAAATTATAGTATGGAAGATATGGCAAAGCAATCCTAAATAGAAATTCATATACAACACCTCCTAGACTAGATAGCTACTCTATGAAGAAAAATGGAAGCTTCTAGGATAAGAGAGTTGATATTTGTTAGAATAAAATTAAGTAAGCTCTATACATATTCTAGAACTTCAAGACAAGAAGATGTATGCCAATAGCTCTTCAACATGCATCAATACCTCCAACTATTTGAAACAAGTACCACCAAAGAAATTATGTATGTTGCCAAATATTTAAAAGATGTAGTAGCCATTTGGTGGTAATATCAAGCTCAAAGTTATGGAGCTCAAGGTGGATTTTGAG